TAATAAGTGTCTCCTTGCAAATATTTTGAAATGAATTATTTGTATGCAAACCTCAGGTTCAACAATCTATAGTATTATCTCTATTATGATCCACAAGCCTCCTTACTCTTAGGACTCCATTTAAAGAAAAAAGGTTCCTAACACCGTGAACCTAAAATACCCTTCAACTTYCTATCACCTGTCATTTTTGTTTCTATAAAACAGTGGAAGTATAACTAGATAGGGGAACTTTTTGTTYCTCACATAAACATACCTTTTATACTTACATTGTTTCTTACATAAAGCCTGTYTTGTGAATATTCAGAGGCGATAGGATGTCAAGTCAGTTCTGTCCAACACAACTTCCTACAAAGATGGAAATGGAAATATCCTAAGTCCATATTTTCCAACATGGCAAGATGGGACAGGAAGGGGTAGGTCCTGGGGGCTTGTCTTTGGGGTTTATGTTTTTTGTTCCTGTTGAACAGGGCTCGCTCTCTCTGGTTCCCRTCTTGAGCTGCTTTCCTCCATCACACTCTTCCACCATGATATTCTGCCTCAGCTCAAGCCTGAGTTATGTGGCTAGCCATTTATAGACTGAAATCTCTGAAACCATGAGCCCCCAAATAAACTTCCCCTCCTCTAATTGTGCTTGTCATGTCTTTTGGTCACAGCCAATCCATGAGGAGGGAATATTTGCTCACCTTTTGGGTTCATGGGCCCTGCCCTGTCCCATTTAGGGTTAATAAAGGGGGTCAGTACATGCAAAAATATTTAATTGAAAATTTCAAATTTATTTGTTGTACCGAGGATTGAATCCAGAGGCACTTTACCACTGAGCTACATCCCCAGGCCTTTCTGTCTTCTTAATTTTGAGACAGGGTCTCAATTTGCTACACCAGCCTCTAACTTAGGTTCCYCCTGCCTCAGCCTCCTGAGTCACTGGGATTACAGGTGTGCACACCACCTGACTCCAACTTAGTTTTATAGAGAGTAACTTGAGTGCAAACTATAAAGAAAAAACAGCATAATCAGAGTGACTTACTATACAGAAAGGTTTTTTTTTTTTTTTTGGTCTTTTGAATTTTCTGAATGGGGTTGATATTTTTATTAATTAATAATTAGCCCCTAAATTATAATATAAAACTATATAATTATAATTATATGTAATTGATCATTAAGTTAGAATTTATAATTGCCTTAATGAAGTTCATGGTTGATGCTATTTAATCTGTGAAAAATAAGGTGCAGGAGAGCTACACCGCTTGGTGTGCGCCTGCCACCTAGTGGCAGAACACACTAACACTGCTGTAGAAATACTGGAGTTCTTGAAAGGTGAGGTCGGCCAGTTTGCCCCACTTTACAGTTTTACCAGTGTTTTGTGCCAATCAGTTCTATACTTAGACCTTTGAAATAATCTTTCATTCTACACAGTTTCATTCTAGTATAACTAAAAACATAAATCTATGGGGGACAAAACACGTCTAAGCATTATTTCATCCACACATTTCCTGGAGACCCTCATCATTATACAAAATRCATGTATAAAGATGTGAATTTGTTGTCAACATACCTTATATATAATCAGAGATATGATAAAGTATGGTATAATGGTGTATTAAGAATTGTAATGCAAAAATAAATAAATAAATATATAAATAAATAAAAAAACTGGTTCTGTTTTACATGTGTCCAGAAATAGGTGGTTTGGGTGTGTGATTCTTTTCCCAGAAAATATCTTGATTACTTATAAACATCCAAATTAACTCTAGTCACTGATGTCATGGATTACTGGCTTCTAAAGGAATTCCCCCTCCCTTCCTCCCGAAAAGTGATAGGAAAATAATCAAAGAGGATCGCTTTCAAAAGGAAGGAATAAATATCAAGCAAGTGACTGAATGAAATCAATAAAGACAGGAGGTTTGGCTGGAAAGGTGAGATAAGGTTGGCATAAGCTGTATGAATGGAGGTCTGTGCTCCCTGAGACAAGGTGGATCTGTGGCTGCCTGGGTTTGGTTGGCATGTCGTCTTGATTCATACTTGCAAGGAAGTAAATGAAAAATTTAATCCAGATCTGGAAGTAGGAGGACAATTTGGAGTATTAACCATAAAGTCATGATAGATTTGAGGTTTGGGGACTGAAGAATCTAGGTTTTCTCATGGAAGCAGGATTTGATCATAGGAATTTGAAATTTTGAAAGCTGAATGATATTAATAAATTTGAGTGGACAGAGCATCCAGGCAGAAGCTTGGAGTTATGATCATCAGGACCCSGGTGGAACAGGCCTTTCTTCCCTTCTCAGGTGCTCTCTCCCCTCATCCTCCTTTCCTGGCTGCCTTGTTTCCCCTTCTCTCCCCTAGTATTGCCCTTTCCCTTCTTTGCTGTGGCGGACTCTCTTTTTCATAAGTGGCCACGTCAGTTCTAGTTACACATAAAACCCACAATTTCGGTGTAACTTCTAAATATCTAATTTACAGTTGGTGAGTTGAAACTTGTTTCTCTAAAGAGTAATTCTCTAGTATAGCTTCTTAATTGTCACTTTCAAAAATTTTTCCTGTTGATATAAGGTCCTAAAGAAGGGGAGAGGGAAAACCAAAGCTTATTCTTAAAAATAAAAGTAATCCTTCCATTCCAACAAAGTCTGGTATCTAAAGATTGGCTACTGACCCAAGAGCTTACATTTGTACATGCATGTTTTATTAGAGACTGTGTGAAGATAAATCCTGTCATTGTGAAGCTTTAGAGACAATTCTTCCTGTGCTAGATCTACCTATCTATCTATCTATCTATCTATTGATTTATCTATCGGAATTGAACCCAGGGATACTTTACCACTGAGCCACATCCCCAGCACTTTTTATTGTTCAATTTTGAGACAGGGTCTCACTAAGTTGCTGAGGCTGGCCTTGAACTTGTGATCCTCCTGTCTCAGGCATGGGCCATTGATGTCCCCCCCAACATTTTTTTTTTTTAAAGATAATAGTGAATGCAGAATTCAGTAATATTTGTATCCTTAAAAAAGTAAAAACTTGCAAAATATTCYATAAACATTAATATAAATATGAACAATTTAATACTATTTTGGGTGATAAAAAATGTGGCTTCCACCAATCTTAGTTACATATTCACATTCTTCCAAAAGGTTAAAAGATAGGACAACTATATAGAATACCCTTCGGCTCACAACCTCAAGYCCCCATAAGATGAGGAACAGCACAGGACACTGAAGCATCCAGTATCTAAAGAGGCACAATTTGCACTTTCTCCAGGGCTTTCAGTGTAAGAAACTTGTTTTTATACCTCAGGAGWCTCTACTGACTTTCAATTGACTGATTGTCAAGGTAGTTCAGTCCAATTAGGGACTTTTAATTCTTGTTAATCTCTTGTATTTATTTTGCACACGGCCTCATAGATGCCAAGCAGGTACTCTATCATTGAGCCTCACCCCTAACCTCCTTAGCCTACTCTAATTAGAAGCACAAGATTTTCTTTCCATAGGTAAAACTGAGGATTCAAGGAAAATTCTATTTTTATACTTTTCTACCCTACAGAATGTCCAAAAAGAATACAAAGTGCTACAGAAAAACAGTGGGATGGAACTTTTTTTTTTTTTTTGATGATTCAGGATCCTATAGAAATTTCTATGCATTTTTTTTTAACGGAAGTGAAGAGATTGTGTGAGAGCAGTGTAGTAGCTATTTCAGTAGAGATTAGCTTACTGCTTAATCCAGTCACAAAAATTAATCACAAAAACAGGAGAGTTTAATTTGACTTAATTCCTGTAAATCAGAACCTTATACATGAATATAGAGTAATTTCATTCGATATGGTTGCTCTGTGGTGTAAATATACATATTCAATAGGTTAAGTAAAATTATGGCCATTTCATATAATAATTACATTATCTAATTCAGATGCACTACATTGATTTARGTGTTTTCCTGTGGAATCAGATGCGTTTATAATCAGATGAACCAGAAAAAAAAAAAAAAGGAAACACCCTCAGAAGCATTTGTATTTTTTTTTTTTCTGTTCATCCATCATAAACCCGGTAGGTTTGATTTAACTACCCTTAGGTTTCCTTCCAGTGTTTTAGGCAATCACTTAAGAAGCAACTATATGCTAAATTTAGAATCGCCACAACAAAAGAAAACTTTGYAGTAACAAAAGGGTGGAGGAAAAGAGTGCTAGGAGGAACCATCAGGCTCTTGGGAAGGGGTACTGGTAATGGATACTCTAACAATCATGAAATAATTTAGCAAAAGAGTTAAAACACTCGGAGTAAATAACTTCCGTTACTAATTCCAGTGGTCTCTGGATTCTCAAACCAAAATGCTCTTTCCTGGCTTCCCATCCCCTGACACACCCGAAGGAAGACCACTCTGCAACCCCCTTTTAGTGGTGCATTTCTGACACCACCACCACCCCAAAAAGAAAAAGAAAACATCCAGTCCATGCAGTAGACAAAGTRATCTTTCTCACAACCAAACAGTATTTTCACAAGTCAAGAACCTGGCGCACCCTCTCTGTCCTCCACGTTTGCTGGCGCCCACTACTTGAATCGAGTATGTTCCAAGCAGGATGCAAGGACTTTGGCCTCAGCGCCCACAGACCTTCTAATGGCGCATTTATCGCGGTGGGCCACCGGTCCCTAGTAGCCCAGGGCAGGTGCAGAGGGCCAGCTTCCCGGGTCTGCAGGGTCGCCCTTGTCTCCCCTTCCCCGCGCGCCTTGGATGCAAAGTGTAGCGGCTCCCGCTTCCCAACTTCCCCGAGAGGCGGGCGCCTGGGGAGGGTCACCCAGTGATCTAACCCCAACCCCCAGAGAGCAAGGCCAAGGAGCCCCGGAGCTCCCACTTCCACCTGTTTACCCCGGAATTCAGGATCCAACCCGGAGGCAGTGGGGCCAAGGTGGGCAACTTTCACTCCCTCCCCGGGTGCCTCTCAAGTACCCAGGGGCGAGAGGGCGCGCGGGTCGCGAAGGGCCCCGTGAGCGCCGCGGAGACGCCCGGAGTCCCCAGAAAGCCCGCCCGAGGGCGCAGCGGCCGCGCCGAGGGAGGCGGCGAGGCGGGAGCGACGGGGCGGGGGCGGAGCGGAGCCTCCCGCCTCCTCCTCCTCCTCGGCCTCCTCCCCCTCGGCCTCCTCTCGAAGCCGCCGCCTCCGCCGGGCTGAGCAGCCGGGAGTCCGCGGCGCTGGCTCGTGGCTGCGGGATGGGGAGTTAGCGCCACGGCGGCGGCAGTGGCCGCAGCTCAACCGGCCGCCGCCCCCGGGCCCGTCCCGCTTGGGGCGCCGGGCGCGGCCAGCTCGCCCCRTAGCCAGGCCCGCGGGCGGCGGCGGCGGCAGAGCTGGGCAGGTGGATGCGGCTGGAAGATGGCGCCCTCGGGCCCGGGCAGCATCAGGCGGCGGTGCCGGCGGGTGCTCTACTGGATCCCGGTGGTCTTCATCAGCCTCCTGCTGGGCTGGTCCTACTACGCCTACGCCGTCCAGCTGTGCATAGGTGAGTGCGCGCCTCTGGCGCTGGCCAGCACTCCGGCCCACCCCCGGCCCCGCAGGGAGGGCACCAGCCTGCCCACAGCCTCCCCGTTCTCCCCTCACCCTTCGCGGCCCATCGTGACAGTCCCGGGACTCCGGGAGCCCAGCCCACTCAGCCGCACTTCCACTCTCCCCACCCGCTCTCCCCTGCGCCCCGGGAGCTGGGACTAGCAGCATCTCCGCTGACCCCGAGGCCCTGAGCAGCCTCCGGGCAACCTTCTAACACTGGCTTTACGCTCGCCTTCCCCTGACAACCTTGGGGTTGCCGGGTCACCTCCTCCCCAGGCACACGCAGCCCAGCACCCCTGCTGCCTTCCCTAAGCACCGCCATTCCAGCCACACCCCCTACATGGGTAGGACTGTATCGGCAACAACTGTGGGCTCTGCTGCCCGCAGCCTCCACCAAGAAGTGAGGCCGGGAGGTTACCCGGGAGGCTGGAGGGCTCCAAGCTGGGCCCCGAATCCGAGCTACTCCTAACCCATGTAGGGATGGCCTCTGGTGGCAGGTCCTTTGCTGATTGTCATGAATCCACTTTTTAAAAAATTTGTGACAGCGCTCAAGGGCGTTTTAGYTGCCTTTATGATTTGAGAATTGTCAGTTGGATACTTTCTAGTTAAGAAGAGTTGGAGGGGGATGAGCTGCTAAAAAGTATTTTTGAAGACATGCAATACACAGGACCATTACTTCGAAGTGAGGCTAATGGGGATGGGGAAATCATGTGAGGTTTTGATATCAGCAGTGTCAAATGGCTCCAGTCCAAGTKTGAGGCTCCTGAATTGGTGGGTAGGGTACTTTCAATGGGAATACTTTTTTTTTTTCCTTAAGTTGGTTATGCACAAGCAGGAAATGCAGTTATGCTGGCTTCTACCTTCAGAGGTTTTGTGAAAGCTGGTCTGGGTTATCGGAAAAAATAAAACGTTAAAACAGAGGGCAGTCTTTGTGCCAGTAACTTGTGGATGYTTTCTGTGTCTGCTGTTCCTCCTAGCAAAGTGTTTTTGCTCTATAAGCATTAGCGTTGGGTGGAAGAGARGAAAAGATTAGATAATACCCTATTTAGTAGCATTTCAGCATTTTTAAAGGTTCAAGGCTGAGACGTTAGATTCTTACCTCAAAATGTTATCCCTGTGAGAAATAGGGTCCRAATAATACACCAGAATAATTGCTGACATAACTTTTAAGAGAATTGAGACTAGCTTCCCATTTCATATAGTTTTTAATAGTTTTGAAATCTGCACTTAGTACTTTGTTTACTAGCTTTAAAAACAATCTTAATCCAAAAAGTAAAAAAGTGAGACTATGTAGAAAAATAAAAAAGAAAAAAAGATWGGGCTGTACTGACATCTTCATGACAATTCTTCTGGATATGTGGTATTCCAATCATGTATAATGTATAGAAAGAAAGTGAGGAAAAAGCATTGCATTTTATATTAATAGTTAATATTAAATAGCTTTCCTTATTGCTATACACTCTGTATGTTACATAACCACTAGGAATCTTTGCTGTATTTTATTCCTTCACCTTGTGGAAACAGTAAAAATATCAATTAGTTGGTGTACAGGAGGAAAGTCCTAGAAGGCCTTCTTTTTCAGAACAGGCAGCTTATTTTCCTGTATTATCACATTAGGCTAAGAAGCTTAGCCTGGCACAGTGTCGTGTCCATCAGGAGGAAACATCTGAAGGCAGAAAGAGCTTTTCTTCTCTAACATGTACCAGATGCAACATGGGAGGYCTTGCTGTATTGGATAGACTGGTGATGGGTGAGGAATTACTGTTATATATGGGCCATATTTTTATATGTACTTTATGTTTAAGACAAACTTAACGTACCATAAAATCCACATCACTATTTTCATAATTGACATTTTGACCAAGAGGGAGAATACCTCTTTTTATACTACCTAAGTGAAGGTCTGTCATTGATACTTGACCTCGTGATCCTAAGTCTCTTACCACAGCTCGTKACTGCCTACTTGGCTTGGCACAAATGCCTCCCAAAGTGAAAGCAATCAATAAATGATCTTGATTCCAGTACCAGGAAAAATAAACAAATGATCTTGAATAAACAAACAAAGGATTCTGAGGCAATATCCCCTAGGTTGTCAGAAAGTAGTTTTTACCTTTTTATTGCCATAGAAACACAAAAGGAAGTAATCATAAAAAAGTCTAGATCCTAGTGTCTGGAAGACAGATAAATTGAARCTGTATTTGATTCTAGAGACTATGGCAGTTTAGGAATGGTAAACCCAAAAGCCTTGCATAGCCTTGTTTGGGTGTGAAATTGAGATTAACTGTATAATTCTTTTCTAGGCATTGGGAAAGATGGCAACTAGACTGATGCACAAAACCAGCCTCTGCTGCTTTTCACAAACAAAGAAAATGGAATGCCAGCTCCCACCCCCACTCCCAGCATTAATCACATCTTATTTTGCCCTGTCCTTTGTGGAGTTTTTCCCCCTCTTGGAAATTGCTATTTATAGTCATATTTTAAAATTTTTCTCATATAAAACATTGGCCAGGGTTGGGACCAGAGGCGGGTGGGTCAGGGGCTGGAAAGTAGAGGAGGTCTCAAACAAACAAGGTGATTTACCCTGGTCCTTCCTTTCACATCTGCTGTCAGCTAGAGATGACCCTGAATATAAATTGCTGTGTGCCCTTTGCTGAGTGAACTGCAATTTAGGAGTAGTGCTTATCCTGGTATCCTTGGAAACTGGAGATAATGATTCCTCATTACAGTTAGTTTCTATATTTAACTGTGTGCATGTGTGTGGCTCTCTAGGCACTTTTTCAGTTAGCATAATTTTTTTCTTCATGTTTGTATTGTATAAAAATAACTCTTATCTTTTTGGAATATGTGTATATGTAAAATATGTGGGATATACTGATAGTGTGACAGTCAAGTGTTTGAGGTACCCTGGCTTCTTTTTCTGTCTTAAATTCCTTTAATTATTAGCTATCTTGTTTTCCATACAATAAATTCAAAGAGAAAAATTTGCAAGGTGGTACTCCAAGACACAGAACTAGAGGAGCAAGAGTGATTCGTAGCCTCAGATATGCCTGATTTGGTGGACACACTGAACCCSGTTTATATGTTTCACAGAATCTTCTGTGGTAGTTATTAGTTTAACTTTGCTTGTTGTAGAAGGTAATTGAAGTTTTCCTTTTAAATGCTAACATTTAAATTGTTGTGATTATTTTTAAACTTTTATTCTGTTATAATTTCAAATTTACTAAAAACTTGCTAGAGTATTATAATAACTGCCACATTTTCTCGTGTAACCATTTTGGTTTCCATTTTTTCTATAGTGTATTACTTCTCTGCTCTCTTTATGGGCAGGTGCTAGGAGACATTGACTGTTGTGTGGTGTACTCACATTTCCATGTTTGCTTATGCTTTTACTTAAGTCATTTTTACAAAATCATGAAGAACGACAAGTTCCGAGGTCATCTAGGCCAACCTCTTCCTGTATCATGGATGAAGCAGTTTAATGTTCAAAGTTGCTACAAGTTCTGTCCTGTTCCCAAGTTACCCAGTGAAGGTGTCAGCTGTGACTTTCACTGCTGTGGCACACATATCAAAATGTCTCCCTTCTTACCAAACGCCTCGCCAAATCTCCTAACCCAGTGAATTTGTATAGCAGGTCTTTTTAATACTCTCGTTGTTGTTTAGTAAGAATTAACACAGCTCTGAAAGTAAGCTAATAGCCTTTATACAATGATTTCAGAGTTTTAGAAGGCTATATAGTTTGGGCCAAAGAGTGAATATTTCTGGCTTTGCTAGCCATGTGGTAGAGAACAGCCATAGAAAATACTTAAATTGGCTGTGGTTGTGTTCCAGTAAAACTTTATTGAAAAAAAATAGTTGGCAAATCAGATATTTGCTGACTTTTGGGGTTTGTTAGAAATTATACCATTAGAGCATTGAGGCTTTAATTCATTCACAAAATGGTCTTTCTTAATAAACATTCCTCAGCAATGATTGCAACCTCTTATATTGTACACATTACTGGAGATATTTAAGAATTAAAAGAAGTAATCCACAAACTTAAGAATCAGTTTGGTAGATATATAATTGTGTTTTCTATTTTTCATGCAAACAAATATCTCTGAGGATAAAATATATAAAACTTCATATTCTATTAAGCTGTGATTTACCATTAACTCAAGGCCATTGCAAGTTCAAAGATGGAGATTGAAGGGTCTCTAAAGTGCCTTCCAGCAGGAAATGATTTCGAGCCATGCAGAAAGGAACATTATTATTATTTGTGAATTATCACTTTATAAACTATGTAGGACATTAAGGCTTTTTTCTTTATTTTTTTTAAGAGCAGACAGATGACCTTGGGAATATAGATGTTACTATCTATATGTAGTAAAATAATTTAAAATTAAACAGAAGGCACATACATGGAAAAATGATGCATATAAAACATTTGATTCCTAAGTTCTTTTAAACATGATTTCTTATTGGCAATAATATTGCCAAAAACATATATTCTGTGATTGTTCTTGATATTGTTAAATATTTTAAAAGTTGAAGTTTATGGAACAAGGGTTTAAAAATCTCAACATTTCTTCAAATCTAAAATTCAAATGTGCAACCTAAGATATGTTCCAAATTCTTGATCTATACTACATTTGACATTAATAGAAATGGTTCAGGGGGAGGGAGAGACATAGGAGAAAAGATGCTACYTAATTTTTTCTTGGTTCCATTTAGTGTGTCACCAAATTATTTTTTCTTTTGCTGTACTAGACAACACGYCATTACTGTTTGTTTAATTTCTATTAGAGATAATTTATATAAAGCAATTACCATAGACTTAGCATGTAGGGATGCTCAGCAAATATTAAATAAACTAATCTTTTTTTTTTTTTTTTTTTTACTTACTTTTATTTAACCTCTTTGGAGTATGAGAACATCCAGTTACATGGTGGAAATAAATAGAGAATAGGATCTTGCTGT